TACAAAATAGTCCAAAACATGAAAATATGATATACTTGAATTTTGATGTTTTGACATAAACCAACTTTTAAAACTTTGTGAAATGTTTTTATAGACTTAGTAAAACATGTATAAACTGATATTGAAGTCTATAAACTAATAAGACAATATTTTCACAAAATTACATATTCTATGTACTAAGTACTAAAACACAATAGAGTATGTAATATCATAAAAACCAAAACACATGTATGTATATATATAACTATATATATGCATAGAAACCAAAACTGATGTATATATATATAACTATATTCGATTCCATCCATCCTCCAACAACGTTGTTTGTCTATAATACATAGGAATACACAAACACTAGACAAACAACATTAGTAGTAAATTGTTTGTAAATCATCATCAAAACAAGAAGGCCAACAAAGAGATGAACTACCTTTGCGTTGTAGAGCAATGCGTTGCAGAAGATATGCCTCTCGTGCACACGAGCACTCAATGAAACGCTCAGTGAGACGAGTCCACATGGCCCGAGCAGAGGGAAGCGAGCCAATCTCTACAGTGAGACCAGAGCCAACACAGCGAGTGAGATAATCCATGACACGAAATTCCTGCAATTGCCACTCTGAACTCTCCTTGACATAGAGAGCACGAGCAGTCTGAAGATCGACATTACCACTGTCAGAGGCAATAGTACTGGATGAAACAACAGTGCTGATGGACGGTGGAACTGGTCCCGTACTGGTGAGATGGTCAAGCAAACCAGCGCCACGCAAGGCATTGGTGACAATGGTGGACCACCCTGCCCAGTCAATTTGATCATTGAGGGGCAAAGGTGGTTTGGGAATCTTCTCTGAAGGAGCCATAACAGCAATGTTGAGACGTTAAGATGTCGAGATGCCGTTACTGACTGCGAAACGGCAATGCCGTTCGTTTGAGGCCGAGAGACGGCTTGAAACAACGATGCCGTTAATTTGAGACCGAGAGACGGTCTTGAAACGGTAATGCCGTTAAAATAGAACCTGAAGGTTAGAATGAAAACCTGAAGGTTTAAACGAGAACGCGAAACGCGTTAAGAGGCCGCAAAGCGACAAGGCCAAAATATCTGGCAGAAAAAAATATTAAACGGCTGCAAAGCAATAAGGCCAAGATTTGACAAAAGAACGCAGAAGCGTTAAAAAAAATTTTATTGGAAGGGAAATAGCCCTAGCTCTGATACCATGTTAAAGTAAGAGAGAGAGAATCTTGGGTAAATTTCCCCTTGAATTGAATATTGAGTATGCACATATATTTATACAAGTAGAGGAGTGTGAGGTTTGTTCTCCCAAGCAATGTGGGACTAAAACCCACTACAATACACTATTATCAACATTTTTTAAATTGATAGGTCATCATAGCCCACATAATGCCTGAGAGTAGCAGAGTTGTTTGAAAAATTGCAGTCCAGTTTTTTTTATCTGTAGTCTTCTACACTACTCATTTAAAAATCTTAACAAAAGTCAAATTTAATGAGCAATTAATGGTGCACTTGTTTTTTCCAATTAATATCGCATATTTACTCTCAACAAGTATGTACCAATTCCATTCATTTCCCTTTCCACGCTTTTACATCCAAAATGTAAAGAAATATGAATGCTAAATACATCCTAGAAACTCGTAAAAGGTCTTTAATTCCCTTTCCTAAACACTCTTATGGGCTGTTTGGTTCAGCAAAGTTTTTAGCATTTTGGGTGCATTACAAATTCTAGAAGCAAAGAAAGGCTAAACTATCAAAGTGATATTTTAAAAAAGACTCACTTTACCGCTTTGATATTTAAAATATCTCCATTGACGTTTTGGTATTTATAATGAGTTTAAGTTAGCATATAAGTCCAAATTTAGTCAGCGGTTAAGTTTTTGACAAAACTCAGCACGTGACCATCAGATGACCCTTAATGACCATCACGAAAAGCTGATATGGCATGGGTTAGTGATGTGAAATGGATTAACCACACCGGTATCACTCACATGACCTGAAATAACGAACATAAGAAATTGAAAAGCCCTAAATTTAACAGATTGCACGATTCTTCATACTTTTCAAAATTTTTGTTGATCGAGGGTATGGAGATTGTTGCCAAACTTGCAGTTGCTTAGAATCTCGCTGAAGAGGCAATGTGGGAAAGTGAAAGTGACATCTGAGAATCTGCAGTAAAAGCTTGATCATCGTCATCGAAAAGAAAAACGCGAGATTATTCACATTACTGCTGGTGCATCTGTTTAAAATTTTGTTTATTAAATGAAATTGTAGTTTTGGAGTGTTTATAAGTCTTCATTTTAACAACTAGGGTTTATGTGAATAACATCGAAGTAGATGTTTGAAACTTTAGGGGTTTCATAAAATTTGGAGCACTGTGTGAAATTAATTTGTAATTAAGTTTAGTTTTTTTCCATTCATGCAGATGGGTGAGAATATTGTGGTTAAATTCAAACATGGTGGTTCTTCTGAATTTCTAATGTCAGAAGAGTATACTGGTGACTCCTTTGACATGCAATTCATCGAGGAAGACATTCTGACTATAGAGTTGTTGAGAGAAAATGTTAGAGAGTATGGGTATACTAATGCTTTCACTTTGTGGTATGGCATACCTAGTGGTAGAGTTGGAGCCGTCATGCCTCATGTCTTAGATATAGACTTAGCAAAATTCAAGGCTTATGCGCGTAAGGAGAGAGTAATTGAAGTCCATGCAAACCATTTTGTGGATCAATCTATTGAAGTGGATGTCAATCCAGCTGAAGATCCTCCTCCTCTAGTGCAAGCACATTCCATTAATCAGCATGAAGTTCCAAACCCTAATGAGTCTACTCCTAAACAAACTAGTTCCTTCAGAGGGAGATAGAAGATAACCCCTAAGAGAAAGAAGCTAACCCTACGAGAAAGAAACCAACACCTGAAAGAAAGAAGTTAACTCATATGCTAACTTAGGCTTCGTTTGGATACCCTGGTGTCTTTCTTGTGTTTTTGTAAAAAAAAACACGATGGTGTTGTGTTTTTATCTTAAAATATTTTCAAAACACCATGTTAAATATTTTTGGTCAACACTAGGTTGACCCATTATAACATTAGTATTAAACATATTATTAATATATTATATATTAATTATAATAAAATATATTTAAATAAAATGTTATAATATTTAGTTTTCATTATTATAGTATTATAAGTATTAAATGTAATGCAATATAATATTATATAATGTATTATAATATTATATTATACTTTAGAGTTATACTATATTATAATTATTATTATATTATAATTATTACATATTATTTTCAAATAATTATATATTTAATTATTTTGGTATATCAATTTGTTATTGTTGTATATTATATTAATATTTTTATAATAATGTTATTTTATTATTAATATAATATTATACTATTAATAATATAATTTAATATTATACTATTATTCATATAATATAATATTATTAATAATGTTAATATTATGTTATTACTAGTATATTATTAATAAATTAATATATTATAAATATTTTAATATTATATAATATATTATAGTTTTATATGTTAGAGTTTATTAATAGTACCCTCATTCATTTACTTTAATAGATACTAAATAAATATTATTATATTATGAATATATTATTTTTTAATTTTTTATAGCTAATTTTTATTATAAAAATATTTATTTAATAATAAATTATATTAATTTATTACATAATATATTAATATTTTATATATTATATTATCATTTACTATACAATATGTTATGTATATAATATTATTATATTTTTATGTTATTAATAATATGTTACTATTATATTTTATTTTTATATTTTATTTATAAAAGTTAAATTATAGCGATTATACTATCGTATAATATTATTTATTATTTTTTCATCATCATTTTAAATTATTTTATTAGTTTATTTATATTTTATTATTATTTATTTATTATATAATACATAACATATTAAATATTAGTATTTAATATATTATTATATAAGATGTTTTATTTATTATATTTTTATATTATTTAATAAATATTACTAATATATTAAATTAACTATAATATAGTATAGTATAGTATAATATAATAAGCATGTTGATAATAACTCTATATTAATTACATTTAATATATTATGTTCGATATTATATTAACACCTTCTCAAACTCAAAACCAAAACACCAAACTTAAAACACTTAAAAGGTGTTTTGAAATAAGTGTTGTATTTTTGGTTTGAAGATGATTTAGCTCAAAAAACACCATGGTTTCCAAACACATGGTGTTTTGTTTTTGGCAAAAACACCATGGAAACAAGTAAAACAACATGGTATCCAAATGGAGCGTTAGTTTTTTGGGTTCCACAGTTGGTATTTGTTTCAATAAAAATATTAGGATGTTGGATCCCTAAAATGCAAAAACCAAGTTTTTTCTAGAATTTGCCAAATCCTATAAATTGGAGAGGATTTGCCAAATCATATTAATGAGTATGGTTACCCAATTACTATGTCATTGTATCATCCTCTTGTAGGGAGGCAAGTTCACTAAGGTAAGCATTCTCACCTCTCCTTTTTTTACAATTGCAATAAATAATAGATTACAAATTTTAGAATTTGTTATCTTATAATTCCCCCATAGATTTGAAATTCCCTTTTTTTGAGAATATTTTTTTTTGAGAATAAATTTGAAATTCCCTTTGATATTATAAATCCTAAAATTCTAAGATTTGAACCAAACGGTCCCAGCAAACACCCATTTGTGATGAAATTTTGTAAAATCTAGACTTTAGTTAAAGTCGTGCAGTGGTAGCTTCAACATAAAATCCTACTCATTCACCAAGATACATGTGGCAACAGTGTACAACTCATGTACATGATAGCATCTTTTGTTCTCTGTGGAACATATATATTATATACCATAAAGTGCACACATTCTCTTAGCAACAGTGACATATGTATTTTTATATATGTGTAAGCAAACTTACGTGTATAATAAGCCTTATTATTCACCAAGCTATGTGTTGCAACAGAGTACAAGTCATGTATTTGAGAGTATCATTTATTTTCCTTATTACATATATTTGTCACTAGAGTGCGACTTACATAATGGTTTTACATTTCACCATTTTCTCAATTGAATGCTGAACAATCTCTTCTAATCTCTCCTTGCTCTCCAGTCTTCACACCCACCCTTCCTAGCCTCACCATCGCCGCGGCAAACGCCGCCGAGAACGCCTCCGGCCGCTCTGAAAACTCCACCACCGTTGGCCTTGACGATGGTTCGGCAAATAACACCTGATCGGATATGAACATCCCCTTACCCTCCACGAGATTCTGGTAGTACCTGTTGGAATAAATGGAAGGAATTGTACTCTTGGTGTCAAATGTTAAGATTTTTTTTTTATGAATAAATGTTAAGAAAAATTTAGGTTGACGTATATGTATAGGCTTGAGATTTTAACTCACGTGCTTACAAAATATGAAGATACAAAATTGGATGAGGCTACATTTCACATTCATACTAATTCTATTTATAGACAAACAACTCATAGGTAATAAGTACAAGGACCCAAATTCATTTACTCCCACCAACATAAAAAAAACCCCAGCTCTAGAGAGCCCACTAATAAAGCCACAGGATCCCCACCAAAATCTTCTACTTCTCACCCGGCTCCACCCAAACTACGCAATTAAAAAAAAAAAAAATACTGTTCAACTCAATTTTAGAATGGGTCTTTGCTATATTTTAGTCCCCCAAATCTGTGTTAATTTGAAACGAATTTGAAGTAAGTTACTCAAATTTTCATATTTTGAAATTAACCCTCCAAATCTTTAAGTATTTTGAATTAGTCCGTCAAATCTTTATATTTTGAAATTAGTCCCCGACGTATGTTAAAGTGTTTTGAAATTAGCCCCCCAAATCTTTCAAACTGGCGCTAATTAGAGGGAATAATTTAAAACATTCAAAAGAATTTACGGGCTAATTTCGAATATGAAGTTTTGAGAGACGAATTTCAAAATATGAAAGAATTGGGAATTTAATATTGAAAAATCCCTTTCAGAATTGAGAATCCGCTATGAAAATTTTCTCCCTTCCCATGATCCTTTTGGCACTAGTACCTTGTCCTCCGCCCTAAGAACTCCTCCACCCGTATATCATCCTCTTCCACCTCAGTCGTGATTCGCCACTCTTACCTCTACCCTTAGTGAGTTTTTGATGTTTTTCCATATATAAAATTTCAGGCTTTTTTCAAATTTCAGAATTGGTATTATTTGATTTTAGTGCAAATCTAATTTTTTTCCTTCAACTGATTATGTAGTGGCACCATTTTCTAAAAATTATGGATCCACCACTGCCATGTGGTATTGTTGTTTTGAACTTAGTATCGAACAAATGATAATTTTCTTTTTCTGTAAGGGTGAAAGAGTAAAAATAAAAAAAACCACTCAGGCAGTCCACCTGCAAAAATGAAAATTAGACGAATAGTAAGCCAAAAGAACAGATACTACAGGGGGTCCAATTAACCCTTGACATAAGGATGATCCTTAATTAGATTCTACATGACTAAATGCTTATGATCAAGGCGAACTAAATAATAATAGCTATAATTCTATGTCAAGCACGAGCAATACGATAGTTTTAATAAAATTTAGCAATACCCGTTGTCGAATGTGGTGGCGGTCGACGCGTCCATGTTGACGGCAATTGTCGGGTCAACATCCCGCGGGCACGCTTTCTTGAGCTCCTCAGCGTATGTCGGGTCAAGTAGAGGCAAAGGAGGGGAGGAGGAGTAAAGGCGGTTGGAGAAATGGTGGCAGTGGGAGAAGCCGACGGTGTGGGCCCCGGACAGCGCGAGAGGTTGTTCTTGCGGAAGCTCCAGGCCAAGACGTTCAGGCTGAAGTCTGGGGACGGGAGGTTACCGGGGACGCGGCTGGATTGAGATATCAGGCCATCACGGCGGCCTAGCTCGACAGAGAAAGACGGACCGCCTGACTGCTCAAAATGGGAAACAAGAGATGGATTGAATCAAATTCAGCTTTTGCTGAGACAGCGTGAAATCCTATCATTCAATGTGATGAAATGCACATGGACTACTTCCAACGATTTCACCTATTTCAATCATGTGCACCAACGGGTATTTCTACTTAAATAACCCCAAATCTACCCTTATTTTTAAGAATTTGACACCCTAAACTTTTCCCTTTAAAGAATAAAAAAAATCCAACGTTAAACAAATTTGACTTGGATACCTCGTTAATTAATATTGATAAAATCTAAGGAAACTACAACGAGCAATTTTGGCAACTAATATAACCGAAGGAAACTACAAAGAGCAATTTTGCTAACTTTGAGATTAAGCCAACGTCACAGAAGCTAGGGGGAAACCTATCATCACAATTTGGAGCGCAAACGGATAGAATAACGATCTGCTTACCAATATATGAACCTACTTACCAATCATATACGAGGATATGAATACAGCTACATCTAGCTAAGGAAAAGTCGAAAACTCATATCCACAGCTGCCAAACTCAAATACGACTGCAGATAAAATAAGCGCATATGAAACAGATACGAGAAAAATGGATCGGATTTTGAAAAACATAGAGGCGATGTGATATAAGAGAATTCACTAACATGTTTGGCATATCTGAAAAAAACTAATATTAGATCTCTAGATCATGAAGATTAACCCCAACTCTATAAATCTTATGGTAAAAAACAATTGCAACAGTATGATTAACATGTATTTGGATACGGCTCCAAATATCTTGCTGTATATTCGTAGCCTATTAGATGTAGATATTTGGTACCCATATTCGTATCCTACCTGATATATGGATATGCAAATACAGATAATTTTTTGCACCCCTCATCGCAATGCTTGAGATAGTAAGATTATCATGGAATATGGATAGATTTCAGACAAAGACAACTGTTGCTAGCAATTGAAATGTAGCTTTACGTCCTAAGATACAAGCTAATCTACAAGAGTTGGAACCAAAATTGCTCTTTGAAATCTCCTTTGATTGTATCAATAAATAGGGGTAGTTAAATTTTGTTCAACTTTGGGGGTATTTTTGGTTCACAAAAAAAAAGGAGTATCAAAGTTAAAAATGAAGTAAACTTGGGGCATTAAGTGCAAATAACCCAAAAGTAATTGATTTTATAGAAACGTTGAAGCATTGACTTCAACAACATAAGATGCTAGGTTAAACATGTTGAAATGATGCGAGAATTTTATTTCTAAGTAGTTAATATGTTGTAGATTATAGCCAATGGTACAAATTTACAACTTAAGAAATTAAAATTTGAACTTTAGATAAAGTACCACATCTTGAATATTATCAATATTATTATATTAGTCTAGCTCAACTTGTATGTGTGTGTGTATGACTGTGTTTCTGTGAGTAAACAGTTGCGCTAGAATCCACTCAAGTATACATGAGATTTTGTCCATCCAAAATTTTAATCGTTGGATGAACTTGACAGATCAAGATCTCTCAACTCTACCCCTCCCTCATTAACTACTAGTTAATGACAACTAGCCTCTCATTAGATCTTGATTTATCACGTCCATCTTTAAGAAGTTAGATGGACAAAATCTTATATCCGCTTAAGTGGATACATGCTCAAATCTACATTTATGTGTGTGGATACCGAAAATAAAAAGTCAAAGGTGTCAAGAGATAGAAGAAGTGAGGTCCATCATATTTTAATAGCAGCATAGTTATCAAAACTAAGCTATCTTTTATTGACTTATTTAACAAAATATGTTGACACGTGCATGCACTTCTTCACATATATAAAAGATGCATAAACTTCATTTTCTGGTCAATATACTCACAAGGGCTACAACATCTCTAGCGGCAAGGGCGAGAACATCAGCACAAGAGACCACACCTGGACACAAAGCCTCAACTGCTTGCTTCGCCTTGATGACCGTGTCAAAGCCATCTCCAGCTAGAGACAAGTTCTGCTCAGAATTCTTCTCTGCATCCCCATTAGGTGATGTGATCAACACAGACGCATCACAACCCTGCAATCTCTCAACCATTACAGAACGAAAGGAAAACACACAGTTTGGTTCTCTGACAAGTGTTAGTTGCTGCACCTGTCGTCGCATGCATTGCAATTGTTGGGTTCAATTTTAAAATTTTGTAAATTTTCACTAGTAGTTATGGATCTGTTACTATATAATGGCTTTTGGAGTTCCATTAGAGATTGCAATTGGTGTTGCAACTTAAACCTTATTTACAGTTTAAAAATTTTGCAACTGTGACTTGCGCTCAAATCTATGTAAGCCATCTGATGCAATTGGTTTTTTTGTAACACCAGTTGCAAACACATTTATTAGGTATAGCGGGACAAATAAATATACTGTTGGTTCCAAAATGTCTCAATTGCATCTAACGGCTGACAAATCCATACAGTAAACACTGAGAGAAAAGGAAATACGGGTTTTGCTTTACCTCAACGAAGCAATCATGAAAGAAGAGCCTGAGGGTTGCAGGTACTGTGACAAAGGTCAGGCTCATCTTCTTCATAACTTCTTGTCGAACGATATCTTCAACGAATGGGCATGATAACCGGTAGAAGTTTTCAGCTAGCTGCCCTTCTCCACTTCCTACAATAAAAAAAGCCATCATTAAGAATACCAAATTTCTCCATAACTCCATCTATAGCTTGTAACAGAAACTAATACAATATTTTCTTCGCAGAATGCTGCATTTAAAGAGATAAATAGTTAGAAAGGGGGGGAGTTTGATGATAACGATGTTGAGTTTTATATTGCATGATAGGATGAAAAATAGAGAGAGGAAAGACATCTTCCTTCTCATATGCTCTTGTTGCAATATTTTTTAAAAGAAAAATTAAAGAGAAAACTACAAAACCAAAGTCCAAGAGGTTGTAGCTTTCATTTGAAGCATGCTGACATATGCCAATGGTTACAAAATTAGTTCATGGGATTGACTTGAAAGCTGGTAAACTTAAGAGAAGATGTCACCATAACGAACATAGAGTATATGGAAGCCCTTACATGATCTCAATAACTAATAAGTACATAAAATAAGAGTATGGAAGTAGATTAAAAATAACAACATTACTTTGGAAAATACAGTTATAAGCAAGTTGCTGAAAATACTTTTCATAGAGTAGGTGAGTTCCTACATTAGATATTTGTTCTCCTCCTGATGTAATCCTGAGTTGAGATATGAACATTTTTATTTTACACTCAAATATAGAGAAAGACATCAAGCATGATTCATAGAAAAAACATAAACATTACAAATCTGACTATAGCCGTAAAAAATATATCACCAGTACCTGCTACTCTAAAACAATCTGATCAAGAACTTCAAAAATTGACTATTTAATTACTATAGCAACTATCAAAACTTAAATACTTCAAATTGTAGTTCACACACATTAAAGACTGAGATTTTAAACTAAATATGATAGTACTTGCTTTTGCTTGTTTACTTGTAATCTATATTATAACAAACACATGCTTTGATGCATTCCATGAGGGAATAATACGTTGAGATTAGATATAGATTTGTTAGATCCACTATAAATTTTGTAGGATTCATTTGAGGATTCAACCTACTAATTTTTAGGATATCGGGTTTGAGTTTTAGATTATTCACTGTTTGATATCTCCTGAAGTATGTAAATTTCATTTGAGAATCAAACAAAATTTACAAATTTCTATATGTAACTAATTGTCAACAGGTTATCGGTATTGGATAAAACTGCATATCTAGATCCAATAAGAATATGGATCTACTTCTAGGATCCATATCTAGGTATAATAATTTACTGACTTACTGGATATGATTTAAGGACCCAAACAAAGATTCTGGTCCGATCGAAATCAGGCAATCTGGTTGTCAAGCCCCATAGCCACCTCTTACCAGCACGTAAGGTATATGGCTAAATAGACAGGGTACTATGCAACAATGAATTGTTATGATCAAAGAATAACCATAATGCACATTCACAACAATTAATATCCATGTACAATAATCTAAACAGGTGATTTAAACAATTTACAAGATTGACGAGTTAAACTAGAATGTCAAGAGGAGGAAGCTATTCTTGTAATATCTTTTTTCATACTTGGTAACTGTGGAAAAATTCTATTCTCTATGAAATTAGTAAACGTACATTGTCCTCATCACCAGAATATTGAAAGACCACTGAGGTACCCACATATGACTTCTCATAGTAGTACCAGGCAACAAGGAACGACCATAGGAAAAATAGTGTAACGCCATTTCTGCAGCAAACTAAAGATATAGCCTAAATGCAGATAATCTAAACAGGTGATTCAAACAATTCACAAGATTTACTAGTTAAAATGCGTCAAAAGCAGGAAGATACTCTTGTAATATCTTTTTCATATCTGGTTACTGCGGGAAAATTCTATTCTCTATGAAATTAGTAAATGTAAATTGTTAGCATCATCAGAATATTGAAAGACCACTGAGGTACCACATGTGTGACTTCTCATAGTAGTACCAGGCAACAAGGAACGATCAAAGGAAAAATACCCTAAATGCCATTTCTGCAGCAAATTAAAGATGTGCGCCCAAGCAGCTAGAAAGAATCCATCAAAATTGACCTTGAAACTTACACCATATTAAACAGCATCTTCAAACACAAGAAAGCTAAAACATGTAAATAAAACTGCAAAAAATTACTTGGGAGAAAGACAAAAAAATTACAGAAGAAGAAACCTCCAAAACCAATATCGATATCGAAGATTCTCATAGGTAAAAAAATTAATTTTCGCAATTTTCTAGTAACCAAACGGGGAAAAAGGTAAATCACGACATAAATTCTATTGAATTGGGAACTTTTAGAAAGTAAGGAATTAAGAATGTAAAACCCCGTAAATTTGAATATATCGTGATAAATATTATTTATTGATATTTGAGTATGTTAGAAATTGATGTGAGATCAATCCAATGTATATATGTGATGGTACAAGAGAATCATGCTCGAAACATGCACAAACAGACTGATTTAAGCCTGTCTAGTCGACTACTACTGTTAGTAGTCGACTACTAAGGTCATTAGTCAACTAATAAGGATAATATTCGACTAGTCGGGCTGATTTCCAGATTTCCTAATGGGTTTCGGGTCAGTTTGGGGCCAGTTTCATATATGTGTATATATACTCTTTTTACACGAAAATTTCCTCTCTTTTAATTATATCTCTGAACCTTAAGCAGCCACCCTCTCCCCTCAAACCCTAGAAGTGTTTCTCGAGGAGTTCGAGACGTGAAATCTAGCGGAGGGCGGGTTTTAAGATCGTGGTTGAAGGGGGATCTGCTCATACGTGCTTGAGGAGTTCAACACGACTCTGAGGCAAGATCATCTTCATCCAAACCTGCACCTTTAAATAATAATTGATTTAATATGTTCAACTTGTTTTTATGTCTAAATCTTAACCTGAGGTGTTAAAATTTAGATTTTTGTTGTTAAATCTTAAACTCATGCTAAATCTTATGTTAATTCTTGCTATTTACATTAGATTCATGATTATGATCATTAAGGTGTTTTTAAAGTTCAATTTTAACTTAATAATCATGCCTAAATCATGTTTGAAACCCTAGTTTTGTTATTTAATTAAGTACATGTTTTAATAATCATGCCTAAATCATGTTTGAAACCCTAGTTTTGTTATTTAATTAAGTACATGTTGATTAAAAATGTTTAAACCCTAGATTTGTGATATCTAAGTAGTGTAATCATATTTAAACGAATTTATCTCTGTTCATGTTTAGATTTTATCATGTTTTATTAATTATGTTGATAATCTATGTGTTAAATTGAGGAAATTAATTAATTAGGATGTTGAACCCTAATTAGACTAAGTTAATAGTTCGTATTATCTTCGAGTTAATCTCTGTTGAATATTTATCAGGTTTAAATCTTGTTTTAACTTCATGATAAATGCATTTGACCGATAAGTCCTGTTCGTGTATGTAAAAATTTATGTTTTACCGTGTAGTCGACTAATACTCTTAATAGTCGACTACTCGTTCCCAGGTTCAACCTACAGAAACTTATTTGTTGCAAAGTAGTCGACTAATACTCTTAATAGTCGACTACTGATACAGATTTTTACCTTCACAGAGTCTAGATTCAGTGTATTTGACTACTAAGCTTAGTAGTCGACTACTAAGATAGTTTTTCCTGATTATTGTTTTGCACTGTTTCGAGATGCGATCATGGAGTTCGAGCAGCATGTTGACACACGTACAGTCATGAATATACACGAATAGTGTCATAGTATACATATGAGTACCCCAAGAGGGATTATGACAAGTATTGATCCGTTTGCACTTGAGATATAAGATATACACACGTAATACACATGTTTGGATATCGTTGATGAGCTCAGTTTAGTACTACGTAGGGTAGTGCGTCGATATTCTATTTGTACAGGCCATTGAGTCGGATTTTAGGATGCTTTATCTAGCAGTCCGTCCAGCAATAGGATGCGATGAGGCTTGTGAGCCGTATTTCCAGGATACCTATTTGGTAGTCCGTCCCGCACTCGTGTCACGTACAGAGATGCGATGAGACTAATGAGCCGTGTACACAATTAGGATACTGACTTGATAGTTCGTCCCGCATGATAATACGATGAATCATAACTTGTAAGGATTTGCATTGTGACGATTGCTGATAGCCTGAGTCTTTGGTGGATGTCATTTATGAGCATGACTCATTACTGAGATATATGACTGATGTACTTTGCTCTTGAAAGTACGTGAGACTATTATGCTGATTATTTTATCTTCCAAGTGATAATAAAAGATATTATAAATATGATATATTGATGTCTTTTATTTTCCCATACCGTTTTCTTTATTTCTTGGTTGGAATCAACGATTAGTGATTCACAATTTGAGACATATGGTATATACATGAGGGTTTTCTTGTTTGGATTATTTCGCTCGACGTACTAATCTCATGTTGTGGGTTTCTAATTGTTGATTTCATTTAGGTTGTTTATTCTTTGTTCAGTATTAATGTTTAGACATCTATAATTTGAGACATATAGTATATACATGAGGGTTTTCTTGTTTGGATTATTTCGCTCAACGTACTACGTCTCGTGTTGTAGATTTCTAAATATTAATTCCATTTAGATACATGATAAATGATCTAGATAGACTATGCTTAATAGATAGAACCTCCACTTTATCTAGCAGTCCTTTCCCTGAGAGCGGATGGAGATGATCTTACTGTAGCGCTCTGACGTTTTTCTTATTGTTCTTTTTGTTTTAAATTTCCTTTCAGGTAGCTCAGAGTCCCGAAGAGCCGCAGGATGACGGAGTTCTAGTATAGTCGCCGTCGCGCATTTTAGTAGTTGAGACTCCACTATAGTTTTATGTTCTCATTCAGATATTAGAGCTTTGTTTTCATATTGTAAAGAAAGTGTGCCTTAGTATGATTTGCAGTTGATACATGTTGAGACATTTTTATTATTTCAGATATCAAATATATTTCAGTTGAGACATAATTTTTATTTATGAGATATCTCTTTCTATATCATGTCTATTATTTTTATTTCCTTATTTTGCATGTTTTGTACCTACACTTATATTTGATTCCACTAGAGGATATTACTGTAATTGGTGAAACGTGTTATTGCACAATGTGGGTACATGGCAGTTTGATATCTCTGGATTCACCTTTGATTGCAGCCATGTGTGAAAACAAGAGCATCACAAAGAATTATGACTCCAAGTTCATGCTTCAGTTGTATACCCTTATTCACCACATTTTACAAGGCTTACGGATAAAATAATTGTGATGCCCCCACTCATTGAGTCCCACATTGGGAAATTGATAGAGTTTTAAGAGGGTTTAAATGATGGATCCTAAGATTATGTTCAACATTGGCTAGTCAATTTTGGAGGTGGTTTGAGCCAAACAATTGTTGCACTCGTGGGTCTTTTGATTTACATCACGTCAACAGGCTCACGGGCCCGGGTCCTGACAATAATCATAATCATTGATATAATATGTCAATGCAATGAAATCTGAAAACTTTATTCATCATAGTACTTTCTTTAATGCTACACTCGTCTTTTTAAGACATTCATCAAGTCACATGTTATATGATTCAATGAATGTCTACAAAACATACTTCTTGAGTCGCCAATGTTCATAAATGAATAAACTTTTTGTTCATAATGCTTCTCCAGTAAGTAGTCATAGCTAGCTTTCAATGTCTAGCACTGCTTTGAAGGCTTAATGGCACAGGAAATATACACTAAAAGGACTCTTAACAGTAAGAGCAGAAAATAAGAATGTACACATGCAATATGTTCCTAGGTGATTAGAAATATTAGTCACATAAAGATGCAAAAACACTAAATCAGTAGTACCCAGTGGGTCAACACTAGTAATGCTTGTAATAGTTACAATGAATAATGTAAAAATCTTCGTCAGAGGTAAATAACTTTGGAAAGCTCAACTCAATGTCCAGAAGTAGAGTAATAAAAAAAATGATTCAACCTCTCCAAACAGCAAAGAAGTTAACTAGAAGACATGGTCAAATGCATAAAGTTTTTCAACGATTCTTTTTTATGTTTCTTTTTTTTTTACAGTAAATATGTTTCTCCATGAGTCAGCAACATGCTATGCTCCTTTATGCCGTCAGAAACATTGAAAAACTATAACTGCACTATTCAGATTATATCCAAAAATTCAAGATGGAGGGTCTTTCATTACAAAGAAACAAGTACTTGCTGGATTGCGATAGATATATAAAGATATAAACTATACAAAAAAAAATCCGTTAATTCATACACAAAGGTCGAGCCACTCATTCCTTCGAATCTTCACATATTTTCTGGACCTTCATATATTATAGGAACAAATCGATTGAATATTGAGACTTCGACTAACTGGCCATTAATCATGAGTCATATGTTGTCCACTTGCACCACAACACATACCAACTCTTGAAGCAAAACTATCATAAATCATTTAATATCAAAAGAATTTTGAAATTTAGGGTTTCGATGATGATATAATTTGCAAAGTGCTCATTTCTTTCCCTTTTTCCCCTCTAGGTGTGACCAAGAAGCTGCTTCTGGTGATTGATCTCACTTGTAAAGTAACAGTACTAGCACATACTACATAAGTCTGCAGAGTATTTTGAGGGAAAAAAAGAACCTCAAAATTGATACGGCGCGCGCAAGTCATTTTTACACTTTTTTTTTGTTGGATAAATTGCGAATGGACTCCTTTATCTATACATTCAATGGCACTTAATCTTCTCTCAACTGCTTTAGCAGCACTTACCAAAGCATTTCGAGAATGCTAAATTGCATATAAACCCTCTCTATTTTCAAAAATCATACCACTAGCCTCCACCCAGAAATATCAAACACAAGCGCAACCTTTTTCAGATCCCGTTCAATTCTCAAAACCTAGGGTTTTGCTCGTTCCCAATCTCAGCACCCTGCTCACAAAAAGCTTCCAACTTATTGAATCAATTGTGGCGATAAATAAGGGCTCCTTAAAACCCTAGGCAGATTCTCAACATCAAGAACTAAACGACTGTGCTTAGTGATGGATGTCATTACCTCGCCGATCGGCGTCGCCTGCTATACCTCCACCAAGGCGTCGCCGGAGCTATAGAAGACGTCATTGACGCCGGCGAGATCGAGGGTCTCTCGGCGGTGCTGGTTAGGGTTTTGGCGGGGAAGGGGCGAGATGGAGATCGAGCGGGGGAGGGAAATTACCGCGTAAATTTGGACTCGACTGCTGGGCTTTCTTGTGTGGTGGGATTTTTTTTTTTAAATAGGCCAATAATGGGCTCCTTTGCGATTAAAAATGTTTATGCCCATTTGGGTTGAAACAAAATATAAAGACCTAAAATTTCATCGTTGCATATATTATATTATATACATTTCCGTTATAAGTTTCCTACCATATACCTCTAGTGGTATTGGTATTTTTTATTTGAAATGTACTGACTATTTAAAAAAAAAATCTTAGCTTCCTTACTTGCGTTTTAACTTTTTAAATAAGTAATGCTACAGCTCCCTAAATATACTAAAGGTTTTTTTTTTTTTTAGGGAGCCACTTCTAATTTAGGTTCGGTTTCTTGCTACCATTTTTAATCATTTGAATTCAGAGAACCATCATATCAATCATTCTATTTCTATTAGGGCATGTTCGTTTGTTTTCTAAAAACCAAGAAATGGAAATGGAAATGGTGAAAATCTCAAAACTCACAATTTCCTCCATTTCCATCCCTAAAACGCACCCACAACATCCAATAAAATATTATTTCCATCCAACAACTCATCCACATCATCTAATAAAATATGATTTTCATCTAACCACTCATCCATCACATCTAATAAAATATTATTTTTATCTAACAACTCATCCATCACATCTAATAAAATATTATTTTCATCCAAACATCACTCAACTCATCTCTTCTCATCATTTCAAATCACTCACATCATCCAATAAAATATTATAACAATTCACCTCATCTCATTAACATTTCATTTCTTTATTTTCATCCCAAAAAGTTATGAAAACACTTTTCTTAATCTTTCTTCACATCACCCAATAATACAATGACAACTCATCTCATCTCATTTCATTTCTTATTTTTAAGAATGAACCGAACAAAAGAAAACAAGAAACTACAGGAAATAGGTTTCTTATAATTCATTTCCTTTTTTTTTTTCGCCAACCGAACACTCCAAAACTAGTTTTCTTAAAAAATCACAAACATCATCCAATAATAAGGTGACAACTAACATCATTTCAATTTCATTTCTTTGATTTCCTTCTTTTTTAGCCAACCAAACACTCCAAAAATAATTATTCATTTTAATAGTTTTCCATTTCTTTGATTTCCCTCTTTTTTTTAGGCAAACGAACAGGCCCTTAACATAAAAGCAATCTATGTACCTTTTCCACCCAATTTTCAATCTAAAAACTTGTAGTTAGCATTTCTACCCTTATGTATGTTTAAGTTTATTGAACTTTGGGATCAAATTTAAGCATCCCAAATTATTTTTAATTTAAAATTTGATATCACAAAGTTTTTTGCCAAAAAAAACCACAAAGTCATTTTGTTTTTCACTTTAACTCCAAAGTTTTTTTTTTTGCCTAAACACACCGTAGAATTCAACAAAATTTAAGTTCAATACCTCAAAGTTCAACAAAAATTAACTTTGATATCCAAAATTTTAACAACAATTAATTTGATACTCCAAACTTTCAACAAAATTAATTGATACCCAATGTTCAAAATTTAGCTTTGATACCCAAAGTCAAATAAAATTAAACCTATGTTGGGGTAAAACTATCAGTCTATAATCTTTTGGATGGAGAAATGGATGGAAAACTTCATGGGTTGTTCTATATTAACCTAATGCTAAATAGGAGTGAGTTTATAAATTTTTTTTACCGTGGTTTTCTAAAATTGGAGTAATTAAGGATAGTAACATTAAATAGGGTCTAAGATAAGAATAGTTCCTACAAAAGCCCTCGTACTAATATATCGGTCTTATATTTCTTAATTTACCGCCAACTAAGTGATCAATATAAAGGACTTTTACCAAATATTTTAATGCAAATAAGAAATTTCACTAGAATTATAACCTTTGATTCTAATAATTTCTTTTCATTTCAGTATATATATTTAGAAAAAATTACCTATATACCATCACTCAAAATCATGTTTATTAACACACTCCTCAAATCTTGAATGATTTTTGGGGGAGTTCTCATAAATATCAACATTTGAGAGGATTTTAATAATTATGAATGATCTACATGAGTCCTGGGAGTGTCAACAAGCTTAGAGACGGTTTGGATATGATACTGATCATATTGGTATTTGCTTACCAATTATGGATACAGATATACATTGGTGAGGAAAGTTCATATTTATATCTATCAAATTCAGATATGATTGCACATGTACATATGCAGATATACGAACAGATACAAAACTGATTGAGAAAACCACATAATATTAAAAAAGAATATTGCTCATACAAGAGATTTCATTAATATGTTCATTATATCCAAAAAACTAAGATTATATATATATATCATATCCTATTAAATATAGATATTACTAACAATTTTTGCATCCTAACAGATACTGATGTGGATAACTTCGAATACAAATATTTTTTGGCACCCTTATATATGAAAAAAAAAATTCTACTTTAAAAACCTTGTCAGCTGACCCATCTGGGTCAACACTTGGCGACTTATCAGACACTATAATATAGGAGTTTCACATATATATCCCTCGAATCTTCCATATTTACAAATTTACCCTCCAAAACTTGGTATTTGCAAACTTACCCTCTAAATCTTTCAACCCCTTCCTGCTTGATAGTTTTACTTTTTAAATGGAAATATCAAACCTGCTAAAAAATTATTGAAAATTTTGACAATTCTCTATTTAGAAATCAATATTGTTAAGTTGAAGGGATAGAAAAAATCAATACGAGATAATTGAGGGGTAATTTTTTTAAATATCAAGATTTGAATGATAAAATTGCAAAATATGAAAGATTTGAGGGGTATATATGCACAAAAACCCTATAATATAATGTGCTGATGTCAGCTGATCCAATAGCGAGATTAGCGGGTAATCCTGAGTTTAGGAAGGGGGCTAAACTATTGATATGAGTGATGTGGGTTCCCTCATCTCTCTTGAAGGGTCCCCTATCTGTATAAGAGAGTTGTGGCCCCCATGGGGGCTTCCCCTAGCCTAGTCCTAGTCATCCGCTAGTAGGCAATGAGCACATATATATACCCAGCTAAGAGGAGTAAATATGTAACTGTTGTCAAGTCCATGCAAATAGGTGAATCGACAGATAGTTGATAGGTGTCGGTTGTGGGTAGCATGAGTCATCCTTGCGATAACAAGTGTCGGCCTCTGAAGAAGTTGGTCATCCAGGTGGCTAATGCTATGATGACTTCGTCAAAGCATTTAATGTGATGGTGACTAGTTGTCGGTAGGGGATTCGAGAAGACACCACCTCTCTAGTCGTCCAGCTAAAGGCTAACAATCACCGTCCCTTTAGTCGGTTACGCAAGTTGTCGGCTAATATAGCGGGCCGAGTGGGGGTGCTCATAGGATTGATCTAGTGGGTAGGATGATAAATATCACCTCTCTAGTCGGCCTCACAAGATGTCTACCCAAACATGAATGAGGGTTGTCAACTCGATTGTTGAGGTCGAGTGGAAGCTAGTCTTGACTCGGCCTAGCTCAGAAAGGGTCGAGTGTCTAGTCTACCTGAGTCGCCCCTGGCGACGATGAGCTAGCGTGATTGATTAATGCTAACATATGGCATGTGTCGACTCCAAGAGGAGAATTAACACTTAGGTTAATTGATGTCATAACATTGGGCCCTTTCACTTGGACTTAAGGTAGCGGAATCTGAGTGAAATATGACTGTATCTAGCTGGGTCCCGAGGTGCTTTTACCTTGTTGAATATGATCACACTACTCTCCTTGATTGGGGCCAAGTCCTCACGATCCGAAGGACCGATTAGTACTCAAAGGTACACGATTCAAATTGATAAAAATAAAAATATTTCTATCATTTTCAGGAGCAAGACCAAGGCACATCATCACCTTGGTCATCTCCAACTTAAAAGACCTTAGCATCTTCCTGAGCCTAAGGCATGTACACGAAGACATTGGTGTCATCATGGGTAAACCCAAGGCAAGAGGCCGAGTCATACTACTCACCCCGACCAGGGCCATGTCATCTCAACTCGAAGAACTGACTAGCTAGTACTCAAAGGTACATGGTTCAAATTGATAAAAATAAAAATATTTCTATCATTTTTAGGAGCAAGACCAAGGCACGTCATCACCTTGGTCGTCTCCAACTCAAAAGACCTTGGCATCTTCCTAAGCCCAAGGCATGTACACTAAGACATTGGTGTCATCGCGAGTAAACCCGAGGCATGAGGCCGAGTCACACTACTCGTCCCAACCAAGGCAAAGTTGTTTCGGCCTGAAGATGGTTAGTACTTAAAAGGTATGTGGTTCAAACTAATAATAATAAAATACTTCTGATAGTGTTTATAGCGTAGAAAGTGTCAAACAACAAACACTAATACCTTGGTGCATACTCCGCATAAAACCAAGGCATATTGACTCGGCCTACATTACCTAAAAGGCATTGGCATCTTCCTAAGCCCAAGACACATACCCTAAGACCTTGGTGTCATTGTGAGTAAATCTAAGGCACGAATCTGAGTTGTCTCAATCTAAAAAGTTGATGGTATTCAAGGTACACGGTTTAAATTAATAAAGACAAATATTTGCGCCTCAAATGTTTGCAACAAGACCTCGGCACATTCATAAACCTAAGGCACAAATTTTAGAGCCTTGTGATTATATTAAACAAGGTAAATGCACCTCGGGACCTAGCCAGGTACAGTCACATTTCACTCGGACTTGGCTACCTCGAGTCCAAGCAAAAGGGGCTAATGTTATGACATCAATTAACTAAAGTGTTAATTGTCCTCTTAGAGTTGATATGTGCCCCCATGTCAGCATTAATCAATCATGCTAGTTCGCCCTCGCTAGAGGCGACTCGAGTAGCCTGGACACCCGACCCCTGCTGAGCCAGGTTGAGTTGAGACCAACTTCCACTCAACCTCAACAATTGAGTCGACCACCCTCATTCATAGCTGGGTCAACATCTTGTAAGGTTGACTAGAAAGGTGATACTTGTTTTTCTACCCACCAGATTGATCCT